GATATTTGATTTGACCGCGCGCGTACATACACATGTAACATAATATTGATTTCTGTTGGTTTTATAAGGAAGTTATATAAAAAAAATATATAAAGAATTTAGAATTCATGTATACAAATAATTACCAAGATTATATGTTTACCTAAAAAGAAATACAGCAGTTCCAACCAGTCAATCAATCAGAATGTTTCGAAGTTTGAGTAGCTCTGTTGTCAAGAATGTATATTAGTGAATTACATAAAATCAAAAATCAATAACATTGAAACAATAAAATTGTTACAGATGTTAATGATTGAATTGATTGTAAGTATAATATATAAAGGAAATGAAGTAAAAGAAATACATTTTTTCATTTTTATGTAAAAAAGGAGTGATCTCCATTAAATTTGAATTCAACTAGCTAAACGTATATACACACGCGAACCTTCCCATCAGGAAGTTCGTAGGCAGTCGTTGAATTCATTTTAGTATAGTTAATATACTGTTGTTAAACACTTATAATAATGTTTCCTATACATTAAATAAAGTTTTTTAATGATGTCAATGATTGAAATGATAAGAATATATGAATGGAACTGGTATAAATAGGAGCCGAAAATGCGTTGAAATCCGACCAGGCGCTTTGTGGCATTCCCTTAGCGCCTGGTCCCTTTTTTTATTTCCTTATTTTATTTTTTAGTTAAGTTGTTTATTATACTAGACGCATTCGTTACTTATTATTACTAGATTTGTTCGTTTATTTTATTCGTTACTTATTATTTCTAGATTTATTCGTTTATTTTATTCGTTACTTATTATTTCTAGATTTATTCGTTTATTTCATTCGTAACTTATATTTTCTAGATTTATTCGTTTATTTCATTGGTTACTTATTATTTCTAGATTTGTTCGTTTATTTTATTGTTATTATTATTGCGCGGTCATACATACACCCACACATACACACACACACACATACATACATACATACATACATATATTCGTTGTTTTGTTTGCTTGATGTTTTATTCTCTTTTTCTTACTTTTTTCTTCGTAATTGTACAAATAGGTAGGATTAATTCGTAAGTTGAGCTAATTAAACATAGGTAGGTGAGTTAATTTAGTGAACATAGGTAAGTTAGGGACTCTATTCTTTCTTTCTTTCTTACGTTCTAGTTTATTTGTATTGTATTGTATTGTTTTGTTCAACACAACACCAACAGTAGCAATCAAACACAACAATCATCATAATATTATTTTCGTTATATTTTAGTTAAGTCTAGTTAAGTTGTTTATTATTTCTAGACCATTTGTTACTTATTATTACTAGATTTGTTTGTTTATTTTATTCGTTACTTATTATTTCTAGATTTATTCTTTTATTTTATTCGTTACTTATCATTTCTAAATTTGTTCGTTTATTTTATTGTTATTATTATTGCGCGGTCATACATACACCCACACATACACACACACACACACATACATACATACATATATTCGTTGTTTTGTTTGCTTGATGTTTTATTCTCTTTTTCTTACTTTTTTCTTCGTAATTGTACAAATAGGTAGGATTAATTCGTAAGTTGAGCTAATTGAACATAGGTAGGTGAGTTAATTTAGTGAACATAGGTAAGTTAGGGATTCTATTCTTTCTTTCTTTCTTACGTTCTAGTTTATTTGTATTGTATTGTATTGTTTTGTTCAACACAACACCAACAGTAACAATCAAACACAACAATCATCATAATATTATTTTCGATATATTTTAGTTAAGTCTAGTTAAGTTGTTTATTATTTCTAGACCATTCGTTACTTATTATTACTAGATTTGTTCGTTTATTTTATTGGTTACTTATTAATTCTAGATTTGTTCGTTTATTTTATTGTTATTATTATTGCGCGGTCATACATACACACACACATACACACACAACTACATACATATATACATACATACATACATATATTCGTTGTTTTGTTTGCTTGATGTTTTATTCTCTTTTCCTTACTTTTTTCTTCGTAATTGTACAAATAGGTAGGATTAATTCGTAAGTTGAGCTAATTGAACATAGGTAGGTGAGTTAATTTAGTAAACATAGGTAAGTTAGGGACTCTATTCTTTCTTACGTTCTAGTTTATTTGTATTGTATTTTGTTCAACACAACATAAACAACAGCAATCAAACACAACAATCAACACAATATTACTTTCGTTATATTTTAGTTAAGTTGTATATTATTTCTAGACCTTCGTTACTTATTATTTCTAGACTGTCGTTTTATTATTAACCCCCTCATGAACGGCTGCCTTGACGTGGCGAGGGGGCTTCTCACTAAATGCCGTTCAAGTTTGTGCTTCTCCTCCTTCACTTGTTTGTTTTCATAAAAATGCGATTCTCTATCATCTTCTTGGTTCTATTTTCTAGCGCAAATACTTTAAAACATGGGTTACCACAGCATTTGCATGTATGTTATATGTATAACACACACAAACATACAAATGCATACTTACAAACAAGCATTTATTAGCAGTTATATTTCTTGTTCTCTTCTTTTAATACTTACTAACTGTTTATTGGTTTAGGTAGGAGTAAAATGGGTGAGCCTTGGCTAAAGTTAAATAAAAGTGAACATAGGTAAGTTATGGACTCTATTCTTTCTTCTTACGTTCTAGTTTAGTTTAGTTGTGTTGTTTTGTTTTTTTGTTCAACACAACATCAACAGCAGCAATCAAACACAACAATCAACACAATATTATTTTCGTTATATTTTAGTTAAGTTTCGTTATCTTATTTTAGTTATGTTGTATATTATTTCCTGACGAATACGTTACTTGTTATTCCTAGATTAGTGTATCTTTCATAGAGTTAGCACACACACACACGCACACACACACACGCACACACACGTTTGTTTGTATTCGTTGTTGATGGTGGTCGTCGGTGCAATGGATTGCAGTAATGACGATTTTTCAAGTAAGGTCTAGTATCGTTTTTTTATTTTTCTCATTCATTCATTTTATCACTCAATCTTTCAAAGTATTCATCCATTAATTTATTCATTATATTCATTCGTTAATTGATTGATTGATTAATTAATTCATTTATTCACTTAATCATTCAACCAATCATTTATTCGTTGGTTCCATCGTTCGAACATTCATTCACTGTTCGGTTTTACATTCGTAACACGAATGACTTGGCAGCCTGGCTCGCATGCGTAAAATTAATAGCACGCAGACATCACGGCATTCTAACGGCTAAAACCGTCTTTTATTTTTCGATTAAAATTCATTTGAAAGCAAAAAATTTACACTAAAATGTACACATGGAAATTTTAGAGATAATAAAGTGCTATGGAAGAGAAGAGAGTAGAGATAGAAAGAAAGAAAGAGAGAAGGTGTAATAGAAAGAGTTGAATTAATCGGAGTCGTAGTAGTCATCATCGTTCTCCACATCGTAAACCAAAGCGGCTGTGTGATAAAAGAAAAATGAGAATTTATAATATATTAATAAAACTATAAACATAACCGCGCATACCAACACGTCTGGTCGATTAATTGAATAAATTGTTTTAAATATTAAAAAGCCTTAAATTGTTAACAACAGAAGAAACAAACAGAAAAACAACAAACTATTAACTAGCAGGGCATAAATGCATTAAATGTACTACACATAAAAGCACCTTACACGCATTTTGTTGTTCACTTGTTGCGTGTTCTATTTCATTATCAAAGAAAAACTCGTCATTATCCATTTCCCCGTCTGCAACGGCATAAAAATATTTAACTTTATTTTAATGACATTAATAATAATTATTGTTATTATTAATAATTGAGTATTATATATTTTACAAAATCATCTGAAGAAAATACTTCAGATAACTTTGCTTGGATATATTTATTTCAACTTCGATGCACTTCGCCACGAAAGTGATATTATCGCTAACAACACAGACGTTAATTCTTACATTAATTTTTAATGAATTAAATTAAAAAAATGACCTGATATATTATTAGATTTGAATTCCTGCACTGGCAAATCACTACCACCATCCTTTTTCGCTGGTGCCTGCATACATATTATAATGGCTTGCATTTAAAAACTATATAGAAGTTTAAATAGATTAGAACAGTAGAAATGAATTATAGAAATAGAACAATTCGAATGACAAAGAAATGTCTCAAAATTTCACTATGAAATGACTTAGTGTTACACTAGTTAAGTTTCCCATTTACATGAAAAGACTAATTTTATTTTTAAAATAGTTAAAAATATATTCGAATATAAAGAAGTTTAACAACTTCATCTACTTTCTTGGTCTCTTCAAGTTTTAGTTTTTTAGCCTTGCAGGCGCAATCGGCATCGTCATTATCGAGGACGATAACATTCTCGCTTTGCAGTCGAACTCCGTCGTCACCTCGTCCAGCGTCCATTGCATTTACGTTCGGCTTCCTCTCCATCTTACATAGGTTGAAGTCCATGAGGACGTCGTAGTTGATTTTGTTCGATAACTTCTTTTCATGGACAATTTTTTCTATGGCCTCCTTTGCTGTCAGAGCTTGCACTTTTGATTTGCATTTTCGAGATTTCCGTCTCTAAATATATTTAAAGAGTTATGTAATTAGTAAACTTGAAAGTGATAATAAAAAACCCGCTAAATTTGATCGAGTTCAACAAAATACGTATTCAAGAAAACATACCACGTACATACATACACACATATATATAAAATTATAAATATATATATATATATATATATATATATATATATATATATATATATATATATATATATATATATATATATATATGAGCATACTATAAATATATATGTAAAAGTAAAAACCTTCTTGAGAGGTTCAGGATTTTCAAGCAGTTCTTTGGCCTTCCTCTCTTCTTTCTCTAGAGGTGTAGGTTTCGTGTGATTCAAGTAATTCATCACGTAATTAATTATTAATTAATCCTTCGTCATAAATGGCATGTGAACATAAATCATTGAAAATTGTACAAAATCATTAATTTTTCAAGCACCATCAAAACAGAAAAATGTGAGAATAAACTAATGAATGAATGAATGAACAAATGAATTAACAAGAGTGAGTGGATGACAAATGAATGAATGAATGAGCAAATGAATGAAAAATTGAATGTAAATAATGAGATGATGACCGAGCAACCTTTCATTTCTTTCAAGAAATCAGCATTTTCTCTCATCCAGATGGCAGTTTTAATTCGCACCTCATCACTGTTTAGGATCATCTTTGTTCATGTTTGAAATAAAATATTCACGATATTCATCATACTAACGCATCTTAAACTGTGTTCAAATGTGTGTTTCTTATAAATAATTCTATCCTTTATCAACAATTATAACAGAAATTAGCTAGTCTACGAAAATTTGTTAAATCGCATTTATTTCCTAGCTTATGAGGTCCACATGAGATGATTCAACTTGCTAATTGAATCTTTCTCTTTAATACAACTTTCAGATCTTTTATAATTTTTTAATTTTTCTATCCATCCTTCATTCACATGTTTGTTAATTCATTCACTCATTCATTCACTGACTTCATCAAGTTCATCATCATCGAGACCGGTCAGATCTAACTCCCCATTGTTTTCCAGTTCTAAAAAAAAATGAGAGAGTGAGCGAACAAATAAATGAACGAAATGGTGGAAAGATGAATGGGTGAATGAAGAGATGGACCGATGTAAGGAAGTAAATTATTTGCTTTAGTCTGAAGAACAAACAGAGATCGACGAGAAGCAAGTTAGAGATACCGATGTTATTTTTCGAGTCAGCACCTCCCTCGTCATTATCATCATCTTTCTTGCTCCTCTGTAGACATTCATCAATGGACTCCTTCAGACCAAGGCTTGTGTGGTACTGCAGGTTATTCCTAGCGTCATTCGTCTCGACGTTGTTATAGCTGCTGCTGCTGTCGTTAATATTGCTGCTGTAGTTGTTGCCTAATATTTGGTCTAACTCGGCGGCCATCAGACTGTCGATGTCTTGGTCTACTATATCTGTTGTAAATGAAGATGAACAATTTAGTGTATGGTGAAAATTTTTATTTATATTTTCAATGGAAAATCCCTCAAATGTAGATTAAATAGTTTTAAAATTAAAATAAATTTATATGTTCTGGGTTCTACTAAATTTCAAATATTTGAAAAATCGACTTGTTTATAGTAATACTTTGAAACATGCAACATTAGCTCATGGACTAAATATTAAATATTTTTAATCAGCGTAGGTACAATAAAAATGTAACTCATCAATGCACCAAATATTAACGCTAGCATGCAGAAACAAATTTCGTGTTTGTTGGATTATAATTTTTACAAAGTCGAAAAACTCACCAAAACTCTCATTAGTGGCTGTAGTAGCAGCTGTAGTAGTTGTAGTAGCTGGAGTAGCTGTATCGTCACCGAGCAGATTCTGGTAGTGAGCAAGTTCTTCATCAAGTTCGTTTGTAGAAGGGGCATCGGTGCACCAGTCTACTGCTATTTATTATTTTTGTTATCACCATTTTCACCATCATTATTGCAACATGTATAAACAGCTGACAGCGGATACAAATCACTGCGACATCCACATCTCACATTGCAGGCAGTGTTAATGCTAACATACAACCCTAACCCTACCATTAAACTGTCATCATCATCATCATCAACACCATCCCTCACCCTTGCTATCGTCATCGTCGTAGGCAACGTCAACATCATCCTCGGCTCCCTTATGAAAGCTGTTCTTGAACTTTCTGTACTTTATATTTTTTCGGCTGATCATTTCTTGAATGGCTGCATCCAACTGAATCCTTAGTTCTTCCGCTTCTTCTAACAATTCAGGAAGGACACCATTCTCTTCCAGCTGTCAATCAATCAATCAATCAATCAATCAATCAATCAATCAATCAATCAATCAATCAATCAATCAATCAATCAATCAATCAATCAATCAATCAATCAATCAATCAATCAATCAATCAATCAATCAATCAAACAATCAATCAATCAATCAATCAATTTTAATCAAACAGAAAATTTCACAAGACAAATGTGAGGTTCCTTTCAAAAAGAATGCATCTGATACAGACGTCCAGCATCAAGCTAAACTATAGAGTAAATATAATGACGGCAACCATTTAGTGTTCAGTCAACCAAACCTCAAGTAATTTCGCCTTCTTCTTGCCCTCTGTGAAGCACGGTGGGTCCATGGTCTCTTCCAAATTTATCGTGTGAAACTCTTCAACTGTCAGCTTACTTGACGGGGTTTTCTCAAATTCAAGCAATCTGATTGGTTGATGATTTCATAACACTGAACATCTGCTCACAATTGTGAGTCGATGGTTATGAAATATGATTGGTCAGCAACAAGCACCCACCTCTTTTTAATGGTCTGCTCGCCAATCCTGACAACTTTCATCATGTCCTTGATAGTTCGATTGAAATCAAAAATGCGAGCTGCCACCAGCAGTGCTGCATGCCAATTTCATGATTATCATTCATTCATTTGCTTGCTTGCTCATTCATTCATTTGCTCATTCACCTCTTTCTCATTCATTCTTTCGTTCGTTCGAAAAATAGAAACGAAACCTGCTCCACAGATGCCTGACGGTCTCCTGCCTTGCACCATCCAATCACGACTCATCCGACCGACCAACCTGATGTGAAAAATTGATCCTTAGAAATGTTAGCATTTTAAAAAATTTAAATAATCGTCATCATCGTCAGCCAGAAGACCTTGTTAGCAGTCCGGCAACTTCCAAGGTCTTCTCGGGCAAATTGCAACTTGAAAGCATACTCTCGATGTTACAAACTTGGATCGGATGATAAATAATAATTTAATTGAGAACTTTTTAATTTAAGAATTAATTTCTCCCACACTATAAGCAAGGCGACCTATTTAGCCGAACAGAAAATTGATTGACGTGATATTGTTATAGAATGGTGTCATTGTGTGTGTGTGTGTGTGTGTGTGTGTGTGTGTGTGTGTGTGTGTGTGTGAATGAGCCTGGGTTTATTTGTTATGTAATTTTTATATATATATTTTCAAAAACTGAAACTTTTCTTAATAAACATCGTCATTCAGTTGCATCTTCTATCCTTTTCTTCTTCCTCTACATTAGATTTTGTCAAATAAAACATGAACACCAAATAAGTTATTACCATTCATGCTCATCTACATTTCGACTTGGATATCAGATGATAAGATAACTGTCGTAAACACAATGCAAATACTTAAGTAGTATTTCTAATACAGCAATCCTTCTACGTCTTTTTAATCAAAGTTTAAGAACTAATTGCTTGCTAACCGATGGCTGGTATAGCGATGTACAAATCTTTTGATAGTTGGAGGTAGGTGTGACCCAATGTGTAAACATCTGTCTGTTGTTCAAACACAAATTTGTGCAATACATTAACATATATAGATATATTCATTTGTTTATTATTCATTATTTCATCATTTATAAACAAACACACAAATAAATACAATGTGAATATATATTAATTAAATTATTGATTTATTTATAAACACCAACACATACACAAACAACACATACACACACATAATGAAAGCGAAAAATAAATAACGGAGAAAATATGTTTAAGCATGAAAAGTATTAAAAATAAACTAAAGTAATGGTTTAAAAAGACAAACAAATAAAAGAATTAATTAATTAATAGACTAGTTAATGAGTTAGTAAATAACTTAAGTAATTAATATGAAAAAAGAATAGACAAAATTGAGCAAATGACAATTTAACTTGAATATGGCATTCACTTACATTACACATCTTTCAGACATAAACATGAATATGTACATGTATGTATACAAAACACAAAATAAACTACATTACAACTTACAATTACATTATTACACCAATACATTAATTTAATATTATAATAATTCTATATACCATAAATTACAATACCTATATACAACAAAAAACCGTAAGTTCAAGGCTTAAAGTTTAATTTAGATTTAGACACATAATTATAGTAAGAAAATGATCAAGAAAATGAAACTTAGGTTCCAAAATTACTAAGAAATAAAACTTTATTATTATTTTATTTATGTTTATTAGTTTATTAAATATTTTATTTTATAAGATTTATGCACCTTTATAAACAATCATTCATTCATTCATTTAAACTTACACCAAGTTTATCGCTGAAGTCTAGCAGCATCACTGAAACAAGAATAAATTTTATTGATTTAATATGCTTGTTTGGATTAATAATGGTCAGACAGCAAGAAAATTTATTCGTATGTATGTTCATAAATATGTATTTTGAATTAATATTCATACACGCCCTTATTAACATTCATCGAGCTAACAAGGCTTTTTTTCTGTCCTGCAGGCGATGTAAAGGCAAGCAGCGGCAACGTGAATTGACCTTCGACCTTTAGTCAGACTCTTACTTACTGCCAGCTTAAAGAAGTTGTATGCCATGTCCGCACAATGGGAACTCAAATTCAAATTTGAAGCCAGTTTCTGAATTCGATTCTTTCCTTATGAAATAATTAAGCAACTAAATTTAATCAACATGCAAACAATTGTAAATAAGAAATGATATGAATTATATTGTGAAGAAAGAAAAAAATTAAGCTACTATGAAAAACCATTTAACTCAGTCAGTATGTCAATATAATACAATAGAATACTAAACTGAACAATAATAATAATAATACAATAGAGCAACAATAACATTGAAATAAATAAAAAGTGGTATTGAAATGATTTATAATAAGAAATAATTTGAGAAAAGAGTGAAACCATTTTGAAGGGTGACATGTCTTGAATCTCTGCCATAGTTTCGCGAACCACCAGCGCTGTTGTGTCTGCCTGTGCTCAAAATAATGACAATTTTCATTCAGCACAGAACACTTCCAAGTATTATCCAACATCACAATTTCAGTTCAATATTAATAACTTATTAAAGATTCATTTGCCAAAGCACGTTTGACATTCCTAACTAACTTTCAAAGCTGACAAACTGGCCAATGACAGAAGCTCCCCCTGTTGCATTCTCCTGGAATTGAATCTCTGACACGATGATTTGATCCTCAACCACAACACCACACTGAGTGCAAACTGCATTCCCCCGAGTTTGGTCTCTGTCAATATCTGTGCTACCACAATTCTTACAGACTGATGACATCTTGTAACAAATTTGACCATTTAAATCACAAAATTTAAAGAGAAGTTCAACTAAAATGAATTTCAATTTGATAATCATTAATTCTAAACATACAGATGCAACTAGGTATTATAAAAAGTGCAAAACAACTAAAAACAACATTCATAAAAAAAATTAAAATCACTTTTAGCTGTCTTTTATTTCCAAATATTTCTTAATTACTGAAATTTAAATTTTTAATGAACGTCAACTTCTTCTGCATTTAAGTGATATTTTGATGTAATTATAGAAGATTTTAAATAAACTTTAATAAAAAATGATTTCATTCAACTTCAATTCAGGCATGGTATTTTATTAATTTAATTTAATTATATTTAATTGATGGACATGATATGAAAATTGAATGAATCTAAAGTAAATGCTAGAGGCTTGACTAATAAAATAAAATAAAATAAATGTATACCTCTGTACCATATAATAATATAATATAATTAAAATAAAAACTTTTAGTTTTTCTTTTTAGATTTTTACTTTTAAATTTTAATTTTAGATCGATCATATAAGTAGAAAATAGATTTATCTTTGTAAAAAGTTTTGAATCAGTGTGAATTAAAACGCCAAATATTTAAAAAAATTTATTTTGTGTAAATTAATTAAATAATCATAAAAGAAACGGACATGCACAAACATTAGCGATAAAAAGTTGTGAAAAATAAAAGATTACAACATTTAAAAATGGATTTTAAATAACACAATTTTTATCTATGTTCTTGACTCATGAAAATTCAGGAATCGTATATGTATACATATAAATATATATAGAGAATTAACAAATGTCTTTAAACTCAGAACTCTTGTAATATCATTAAATATGAGCATAAATGAAACTATTGACTACGCATTTATTTGTTCATTCTTACAAACACAAACCCACACACACACACACATATATATATATGTATGCATGTATCTGATGACAAATCAACTATTTGCACCCTATATAGTCAACTATTTGGACCTATATATATTACCATTATCCAACTGAAAATCAATCAATCTTCGTTTAGCGTCCAGACCCAGTTTTCCCCGAGGTAGGACGTTGTTTCCTTTGCCATCAAATTTTTTGCGCCAAATTAGGCGATCAGTTGTATAGAGGGGGAAAAGACTGAGAAGACTAACTTTAAATTAGTTAATCAACCAATATATATATATATATATATATATATATACAGTACAGATATGTGTAAACACATATTTGTGTGCCTATTTAATTAAATATGTCAATAGTTAATTCATATTAACTATTGTTTTAATGTACAATTACATTTTCAAATATTATGCATTTGAATTAATTTTAAGTAGAAATACCTAGTTATATCATCAAATGCAGATATAACCTTAAGAGCAGTTAAAAGATACATAATTTATTAAATCAAACTTTTTCATAACCAAAAGTGAAAATTTAAACAAGAAATAAAAAACAAATCAAACAATTATATTAATCAGCATTATGTACATATTAATAAGTCGTCAAATATATTTAACACCATAAACATTTGGACTAAAAATTTTTATATTATGTATATATATATAAATTAAAATCATTGGGATAGAATTGAAAATATGTACAATTTCAAGTATATATGGCAAGGCATACACAAACATTACAAGAGTTTCAAGAATTTAGATAACAACTCACCAATCAATTCATTCAAATTACTCATTGGCTTCAATTTTGTTACACCTTTCATGCATAAATTTATCGTCCAATTCAATTCATAACATATTATTCTAAAAATTTATATTGATAAGTTCAAATTTTTCAAATCATGACTGTTAATTCAGTTTTTAAATTGCACACACTAAACTACTTACACACACACACACACACACACACACACACACACACACACACACACACACACACACACACACACACACACACACACACACACACACACACACACACACACACACACACACACACACACAAGCACACACAATATATAATTCATTTGTTTACTTATATACATACATGCATTGTAAATGTGCATTAATTTGCATAATATATTTGTGCTAGTGTATGTGTTTATGTTGTCATTAGTGTTTTTGTACAAAAATCAAATAAGCATTTAGTATCACACAGAGCATTTTCACCACACATGTACATGTCCAATATTAAACCAGCAGAAACAGCAATAGTAACAAACATCTAGATCTTATAAATTAATTTCAATAAATAACTTTGCTACAGCCATTCAAACCAGATGATCACAAAAGAAAAAAGTAGGAAAACTAATCCTGATAACTATTTGTTTACCAATAAGGATGTCCAAAATCATTATCAAAATCAAGAGGATTTCTAAAGACAACGTCGAGACTCTTTTGGCTGGGGACGACTTGATTGTGAAGAATTCTTGAACCATTAAAAACATCTGATTTAGTACAAGTATTATGCATGTTGTTATTAGACTCTATCAGCTTACAACTTATCTTGTAATTAAGATTTGAATTATTGTCCCAAAACTCATTACCAGACTCAGTTCTGTAACAAATAGCAAACTCAATGACAATAGAATCTTTAGAAGAATTATCACCACTCGATTGCACATTCATGTTGTTGTTGAGTGGGAACTGAAAAGAAAACAGTTCATGATTAGTTCCTCCGACAGCACTAACGAAGTTGCACTGAACATCCATGCTAGTCTTCCAGCCATCTAATGTATACCTCAGCACCACTTCCTTAGCACTTCTCACATTTCCTGGACAGCATTTTGTCTCAACCGTCCCACAAATGAGTTTACCTACTTGGGTTTTTATGCTGGCTAGAGATACATTCATCTGTTCAATATGATTGTGAAGTGCCAGCAGATTCAAGTGAGGCTCCTCAAAATTAACTAAAATTAATTTATATTCTGGTTCCCAGCTTGTAGGACTTGAAGTTGTTGATGTGTCATCATCATCTATGAAAGCATCTGATAGTGTCTGCTGGATCTTTTGAATTGTTTCAGGACTTAATACTGGAGGAACATCAGAAGGTTCTGCAGCCATCTTCACTTCTGTCAATTCTTTACCTAACTCATCAGCAAATGATATTTTTCTAGGTATTTTGATATCAATTTTATTGTCCACATCTTCTAAATTTAAGGCAAGTTCACTAAGGTCCCAATTGTAGGATTGCTCCCACTCTGAAATTCGAATCTTGTCTTTCTCTTTGTCTCGATTAGTTTCCAACCTAGCATCTTTGTATTCGTATCCAACATGCAGGCTGCTGTTATTCAGATCTTCTGCTGATGAGGCCGTCTTCTTCCTATCACTTCTTGAGTTTGTTAAAGATTCGGTTTGAGTTGAAGATGTGAATGATGAGCGATAACTGTTTGATCTCGATGATCTAGACTCCAACCAGCGGTCGGATAACAGCTCAAAACCCGGAGGACTTGAAGCCAATAAATAACTTGGAAAGTTCAGAGCCATACATAAGAAGTGAATAAATGCAGGTTTTGAAAGGAAACATTTATATTATTTAATTATTTTCGACAGAACGTTATATTTTAAATATTTGTGCAATATTTGTACTAAATTTTTTAAATGAAACAAGTGGCTTTGTTTAATTTCAAGAAAGTTCAAACGAACCACGAAGTTCACAAACGTCTACCATCTTAGTTCAACTGCATAGACCTTTATTTCAATGCAATTATCATATTATCATACTTTAATGTCCTTTTTCTAGCGTTTTATAAAGTACCAACTCACGAATTTATTATAACATAGTTGCAGTAATGTATATAGACTAAGTATATTATTTCACACGGTGCCCTCTTTCTCACTTAACCATAAGTTGACTGCATCTAAGGCCTCCAAACGCAACAACATCTTTAATTAAAGCACTCAGTGGAACGATTTTAGAACGGATAGGAAATTCATTTGCAAATCTACAAAGCCATTGGCTGCCCCAATCATACAGTACGCTTGTCCACAGACTCCAACATCAATCTGTCAATTACAACGGCCACAGCATTACGAGTGATCACTGGCTGCCACAACATTGCTTCAGAACGACATCTGCTCTCCGAGTACCAGCAGCTCTCCGTGAGAGAGCATTCAGACCTTCTCTCCTCTCAATACTACTATTATGCTACAGTCCGCAGCACCCTTGCCACGCCATTCTAACAAACCTCTTAATCTCATGCTTAAAATTAGAAGGTAGCAACACTAGAAAGCAATTTATTTACAATATGATTATAATCAGACAGCAGATAATCTGCTGAGAAGACATCTATCTTTCAATTTATAAAATTTCTTATTTAATAATTGAAATAACATCGGCTAAAACAACAAGCACAAAATGAACGACGATGAGCTACACGAAGAAGCAATTTATTTATTTATTTAATATTTATGAAGATGTTATATATATATATATATATATATATATATATATATATATATATATATATATGCATTATATAACATTTTAACTTTCTATGTATTTAAAAATCATTATTTATATTTTATTCTAAAAATGATTGAAACAATTTGTTTTAGTGAAATGCTAAATCATTTTACTACAATTTTAATAAATCTAGTTAGAAGTTGATAAAATATATTTAAAAGTTGTTCATAACTTCGCCAAAATTCAACCCCAAACTGCCATATTTCCTTGCGCCCAGTTATTTTTTCTTTTTTCATTACCACTCCTAGCTCTTCGAATCAAATGATCGTTCAAGAAAGCTAACTTGGTGCGATGACCAATTCTATTTGAAAGCTCACTGAACGTATGTCCTGGCTGGCTCTTGATTTCCATGCTTTCCTGTTCCAGGTCATAATAGTTATTATTATTGCTGTAGTTGTTGCTGTTGTTATCGCCGCCACCATCGTTGTTATGTTCGTAATAAACGGCATTAGAAGTACGAAGATGCTGCTGATGAGGCGGAAGAATGGATGAAGCGATGATGCTGCTGTTATCAAAACTGAAAAAAAGTATCAAGAGGAGCAAATATTTCAGAAACATTTTCGAATTTTTGTTTGAACTGCCCTTAATATTTACTAAGATGAAGATGAAGACGATGATGACAATCTTTTATGCGTTTACTTTATCAAGGATAAGAGGAAGATGATGAAAAAATAATGATGATGCAGATGTTTGCAATTCTTGTTATGAAATGATATTGAAGATATTACAGAGTCCAAATAACTGTGATTATGAATGCAGTGTGGTGTTGCATCGCGTTTGATGTTGAACGATGACACTGGCGCTGACCGAGAAATCTGATCCCTTCTTCTGAGAACTAGGTCAGTAGCTGCGTGAGAATAAATTTATTTTGAAGGTATAATTTAAGCTTGAAAACATTCAAAATCGTTATAATGGAAACATTTAAAAACAAATAACTTTTATATCGAGAAAAAATCTTACATTTAAAAAGTAATGAAGTTAAATTGAATTTGTGGTTTTGGGATCGTTCGTTCGCACATGTTTATTCGTTCTTTTATGTTCATTGGTTCATACTGTTCATTCGTTTGTACTGTTAATTCGTTCATACAAGTTTACTCTTTCATTTATTTGTCCAACAGGCTCATCAATCAATTAACACTGACAATGGTGACTTACATGAACAAATATCAATCATTTTCTCTCTTTATCTCTCTCTCTCTCTCTCTCTCTCTCTCTCTCTCTTTCTTTCATTCAGTAGTCAGTTTTGAAATTATGCAATATATATTATAGAAAGAAATATCAGCGGCAAAAAAGACCAACAAACACTTTGCCTTTGATACAGTTGATCATACTATTTTATTGAGGCTGCTAGATGATATTTTTAATATTACAGATTCTTGTCAATCTTGGGTTTTTCTTATTTCTGTAATCGTTTTTCCTCCGTGGTTCTTAATAATTCTACTTCTGAATAACTACCCTTACTTTTGGGGTACCTCTGGTTCTATCCTTGACCCTCTTCTATTTATACTCTATACTTCTGATGATTCCTCGTTGATGATTCTTATATTTATATTATATTTTATATAATATATATATTTTATTTTTTATATTATATTTATATATAATAAATATAATATAATATATTATATTTATACTTATATTTATACTTCTTTTCAATCTCAATCTGAATCTCAATATGAATCTCAATATTTTTCTTAATAATCTATCTCTATGTCTTTTCTCAATTATCGCTTGGTTTGACTCTGTGTGTTTTACATTTAATCCTCCTAAATTTGAATTAATTTGTTCTAATAAATCTATACACTCTATTACTATTTCTTCTGTTATCTTGCCTGATTCTCTAACTCTTGACGCTTCTCATAAGTTTTGTAGTCTAGGCTTTATCTTTGATTCTAGCATGTCCTTTAAGTAAAGCTTTTAACTCTGGTGCTCGTCTAGTTTCTCGTGCCAATTTTTTTTTCTCAAATATCTCCATATCTTGTTCTCTAGCCCTGGCTACCTATAAAAAATAGAATAATTATTAAAATTTGCACTTTAATGTTTAAGTCTCAACTTAAATTTTTCTCTAAGTAGGTACTTATCAAAAATATTAATTGAACCTAAACGCCCCTGTATACTATCGTCTTCTCGTTCTCACGTCATCTTAACTCCTGTTAAACATTTCTTTGCTAAATCTGCTTTTGCTTTTTCTGGCCCTTTTTCCTGGAACTATCTACCACTTTCTCTGACTACTTCTCCATCACATACGAAGATCAGAGCAGATCTCAAGACCCATCTGTTTGCAAAGTTTGCTGATGAGCGCTGTTGAAAATCGCCGAAATAGCGCTTTACAAACTAATTGATTGATTGGTTGATTAGTTAGTTTATTGATTGGTTGGTAAATTATTAATTAATTACATAAAAAATTAATTATTGGGTAAAATCTAAGGTAAACGCATCTGGAAATTTTAAAATGTAAATAGTTTTTTGTATCTCAAATTCTGAAAAAGTTTGTTCCTTTATTCATTCGTTTGTTTGCTTGTTCGTTCGTTCGTTCGTTCGTTTGTTCGTTCGTTTTTTTGTTTGTTTCGCTGGACTTGAGCTTCAGTGGTAGAATGTTGAAAGTTAAGTTAGATGAATAGGGAAATCCGTTGAAGTCAAGACGATTTAATAAGAAGATATGATGTGCTCCGTTCACAAGTCGTCCGTTTAACTTTACTTATTTTTCCTCCTCTCTTCGTGATTGTATATATATTTTTGATGTTGTTGTTATTGATGCTATGTTGAGATGGCTTTACGCATACTTAAGACTTACATTAGTGATAAATAAATTTATTAATTTTAGTCAATTAAAAAACGAATAAATTAATTAATAACAATTAAACAAGCAAAACAATAAATATTCCTTCGACAGTTATAATATTAATAAATTGTGCGTCGTGATGAATCAATGGTTGAAGTCCCTGGCCTCCCTGCTGCAGTGGCAGGATTCGAATACAAACACACGCAATCGTGTCATGCCTGCTCTTCCCGCGTATTCAGACACGTCAGAGGCAAGTGCCAGAGGGAGAATGACCTTTAACCTTTTAAACTTCTAATTAAATAATCATTCTAGTGTATAAATTCATGTGGAAAAGATGTTATTGTATTACCTTTGAAGAAATAAAAACAATCAAAGATAGTGACGCTGCTTGTGACGCTAATGATGTGTTTATCTTCCGAGATTATATTTTAGTTGATAAAAAAAATATAGAACTAATTTTTATCGACGCAACTGAAATTTAAAACGGTCACACTTGTTTCATATTTCCCAATATATATGCTCTCCCATACATACATGCATTCATACGTACATGCTTACGCATACATCCGCCCGCTCTAATATAAATGTATACAATGCGTTGTTTCAGCGCTCACATGTGTCTGCCTGATGAAATTGGAATTAGGTTTGAATTGCGTGCAGATTGAAAATGATTAAACTAGTTAATGAATTATTCATCAGCTCACCATTACGCTGACGATGATGACCTAAATTAGAACTCAAAGATACTCAAAGAATTCGAAGATAACATATACGATACATGAGAATGCACAAACATTTTTAAAGTGCAACCACAACAACAACAACAACAACAACAACGAACACCAAAACAACAACAGTACAACTTAATACAGCTTATTCATTTGGAATAAATCGTAAAGAACAAATTTGGCACTATTTTTAACGTTGTTGGCAAGGCAATGTTAGTTATTGTCGCCATAGAAAGTGTGCTATGATGATTCAACGCCTGCTTACGTTCATTTTATTATTTTAGTTTACTTTTACAGTTTTACTTGTAGCCATTTCACTTATAATTCGTGGGATTGTTTATATGTTTGTTTTTTGTGTTTCTGTCTGTCTGTGTATATGCTTGTGCGTAGTTTTGTAGATGCAATCTAAGTGCCCGTCTATACGTTTGTATATTTAATAATGTTTTTTAAATTAAAATTTTAAAAAATCAGGAAAATTATTTTAAAAGGAAGTGCCTGTTCTGTCATGCTGTCGACATGACGTTAACAAAGATAATAAATAGAAACAAGGTAAGACAAAAAAGTCCCAGCAGGGTTCCAACTGACCTTCCATCACTGTCATGTTAACTTTACCGCATACGGTCTGAAAATTTTTGTCTTTTTTATACATGTGTGCGTGCGTGGTGTGTGAATGTGCAATTTCCTTTTTGACGATAATGTCCATGATGATAATGATGATGATTGCAATGTAGTGATGTGATGATGACAGCCAATCTCTTGCCACGCTTTAAAAAATTCTTCTACCTATCTGAGTCTCTGTCAGGTTGATCGAAGCAGTTTGAAACAAAATTGAAACTTAGAAATAATTTTTGGCACTCTAGCCCACGTGGCTAAAGTATTAGAGGCAATAAATTACACGAACTATTTTCGCGATGAAGCTCATGCGGTTAGCCTTGCACCTATGATTATACACATATACATAAGCAAATAATGTAACTATTCGGTCAACAATTAATAAAAAATAAATGTATGAAGAATGTTGAGCCAATTTTTTTAAATTGTTTTATTAAATGAATTATTTGAATAAAATTTGATGGAAGAGTCCTTATAAAAATGGATGTTTGTCACCAGTCAAACTTTTCACAAAATTAACATTTGAATTTACTTTAAAAACTTATTGAAGTGACATTATCGGTGTAATTAAACATTTGAATTTATAGTTTAATTATTATACCTGCATATGTTCATTAATTTTTTTCATCGTTTTTAGCGAGAAAGTTTTTAATTTTTTCAATGTGAGACTTGCCTCGGATGCATCCGCCAGAAGAGATCAGAGCTCAACATATCGAACGGACGTGGAGTTGCTGGTCAGTTGGTATTGTTTATTCGGGGGTGGTCTGTAATTGGGCGAATAAACTGAAACGAGACCCTGCGATTTATTCCAATTATTTTTATCTTCGTTACTGCTGGTTGTACTGTCGACCTCTCGTTCGGTCTTGCCAAAAGTCTGTTTTGAAGCAAGCTGTGAAGTGTTGGAGGCCATCATGTCGTTGGCGTTCTGTGAAATGTTAGGAGTCATGGAAGTCCCGATGCTGATGTAGTGGGTGGGCTGGTTCTTCTGGGTGGTGGCGTTTGAACTGAAGTTGCTTGATTGCGTCACTCCGTTGTTAAAAGTTTTGTGGCTTTTAACGGGGGGTTGAGGATCTGTTTGATAGCATTTAGATTCCATGCGCTTTGTAAATGCTTGCTGTTGTGGTTGTTGCTGCTGGGATTTTCCGTAATTTCTAGGCGATTTAAAGTAATCCCCATGGTTAAGTTGTTGTTGATGTTGTTGATGCTGGTAGTTGAAGGTTTGCAATGGATAATGCGTTGGTTGATGTGTTGGCTGATGTTGCGCCTGTTGCTTCTTTTGTTGAACCTCAGAAAATTGTTGAAGGAATTTAGAATCAGCCGCTTGTTGGGCGCGATGTTGTTGTTGCTGATTTGGTGAAAAATTGTCGATGAAAGACTTCTGCGGCTCATTTGCTGGTTCATAGTTACTGTGCTTGTTATGGCGACAGTTATTGAATGCGTCATTTTTGTACCTGGCTGCCTCGTTAGTTTCTATTGTTTGTGTAGCGCAGCTGAACTGGGTGTTCGACGGATTGGTCATGGTTTGTTGTGAGAGTTGTAGGTAGTTGTATGAAGAATTGTCTAGTTTTTGTTGTTGCTGATACTGTTGCTGTTGTTGCGCGTGCAGTGATTGTTGGTAGCGTAGTGCTACCAAACTTTTCGACCGCGTTGACGATACATTTTCTGAAACAAAAATTAAACAAGAATTAAGAATAACGCATCAACTAAAAACTATGCGCACATCAAATTAATGAAAATTTAGATAATTATTTATTTTAGATTCGAATTTTTTCAAACAAATCACAAAGTTAAATATAAAAACAATTCATCTAACCGTCCAAATCATCAGCCGGCATTTTTTGCGTTATTTCTTTTGTTAATATTTTTGGACTGGCAAGGCTCGGAGACAACCTCTTCAGCTGTTTCAAATGTGGCGACGAAATTTGTTGAAAATTTTCTTTCTGACGAATGGGGGTAAAACATTTTGCTATAGGCGTGGGAGAACTTTTTGGGACTTGTGAAAGTTGATGGGAAGAAATCGGAGGAACAGGTAGAGATATTGGTGACTGAGTTTTTAATAATGCAGGCGTGTGCGATCTCTGACTGTTTGTGATTGGCGTGGATGGAACCGATTGGAACGTTTGTGGCTGTGATAGAGAAGGTTGTGTCTGTTTGCATTGCTGGCTTGTTTGGATAGAAAGGCGGTTGGATGATTCAATCTTCGTTTGATTTGAGTTGGCGTTATTCGAAACTTGTGAATGGTATCTACAATAGTTTAATGAATAAACGTAGGTTATGTCTTCTAATTATTTAAAACCAAGATTAAACATTTTAAAATATTGACGGCTTTAATATAAAAATTATAAAATTATAAACAAAAAATTTCACTTGTATGCGCTCAATAGCTTGATTCTCATAACTTGATCAGTAAACATCCAATCGAGGTGTTGCACACGAGACATTAACGATTCCAACTCGAACTTTTCAAAATTTACAAGTTTCATCAAATCAGGGATGTACTTCAATCGTTCTGGCCGGTTGTAGTCGATCCACTTGGCCACTACTTGTAGTTTATTCTCTTCAGTCATGTTCAAATCTTTGTGGGTTAACAGATTAACTAAAAGATTCTTGGAAAGTTTTACGACATGTTTCTTGTTCCATATTATATCAAAATTTTTCGCGATTCTCTGCTGCATTTCTTCAATAATTTTGGTCATCTCACAGTTGTTGGCTATCAGAAAATGAAGCATGATGTTGTCCAAGTTGCTGGAAGTAAGCAGATATTCTTCGCACATCTTTAGCAGCACGAGCAGATCCAGACGTTTTGCTACGAGGATGAAGTATGTGACGTTGTTACTATCCAGTTGAATGTCTGTCGTGTATAGAAAATGAAGCGTATCGGCTATCACGTCTCTAGGAAATTTGGATAAATCAATAACTGCGATTTGTTGAAAATTTTCTTGCGATCCATCATTGGTGTCGCACTGAGGCTTGTTGGCCTTGAACTGGTATGCTAAGGAAGAACTAAAACTGCTGAGTACTGCTTGATGTGCCATTATTTCGCCGTCTTTCGTTACGATTGCTACATCGCATTGAGTTTGTTCTAACCAGGAATCGTGCAAAATTTTTACAACATTTTTGACAGTTTGATCGTAGCCGAGACCGCTTTCTGATAATTTTGGCTGCCTATCTTTGTATTTTTCAATCAAATAATTTACTACGCCGATTGGTTCGTACAATCGTTTCATCGGTAAATTTGACGTAACATACATACGAGACTTCTTATTACCAGACCTCAGTGATGGCTCAGCAGGCATCGAATATATTTGAACTTTATCTATATTATTTGGTCTTTTAGATGAGAAGGTGCGAATAGTATTGAGGCTACTGCGGCTCATTTTCATTTTCGCCATTTTGTCACTTTCTTTTATTGTCGACTTCATTCTCTCAAGATTCTTTGGCCCATCATACATTTCATCGTCAAGATCTTCATTGGAAACACTAACCAAAACTCGACTTAGTTCTGTTTCTTTCAAATAAGGATACATATTCAGGAAGGGTTTTTGATGTTTCACGGTCGACACAGTGCTGGATTGGCCGTTCTTCTTCAACATTTCTTTGGCCAACGATACGAAAGACGTTCCTTTAGGAATTGAATTGTTATTGAATTGAGACATTTTTTTGTAATTCTCATTAGTTACACATTCGTCAGAATCATCGGACCCTTCGCTGTAAGTGCTGTTGTAAAAAGAATGAAACTTTATTTCATCGGTTTTTTCTTGTCCTGATGAACTTAATATGCTATAAGGTTTTATATTTGATTGCTTCTTATTTTTAGGAGACTTCATTTTCTCTTCATCACTCATGCAATTGTTTGTGTTGAATTGACTTTGAGAGTGAGTTTTCAAACCTAGAATGGACATTTCTTCTTCAGGTTGTTTAATTGGTGAGTCAACTTTGACTTTTTCATCAACTTCAAACATCTCTAAAGTTAACGACCTAGGAGTCTTATCTTTTAAAGATTTAACCCTCTTTTTATGCTTATGCTGTTGATCTTGGTAAGACACTCTGTAGCAGACACCACTTTCGACTGACGGTGGTCTTTGGTATCTCACACCTGGAACAAATGCACTCATCGATAATTTCTTATTTGAACGACGTTCTGATACAGTATCTCTGGAGGAAACTTTATTCTTGGAGTTAAATGCCATCATTCGGGTTGGCGGAATATTTCTTTTCGTCGGCCTAGTGATGCTCAGTTGACTGTTGCTGCTTATGCTGGAAACTTGTTTCAACGCATACTCGTCATTTGCATTGGATTTTTGAATTTTTTTAGCAAGATGCACATCTAAAACTGGAGTCTTGTTAGCCAGACCGAGAAACAGCGCGTCGAACCTGGCGTGTGCCTTTTCTAAAACTCTGTTACTGGAAGAAGATCTTTGAGCTGCAGTTGGAACGAGGTGCTTTGCAACCATATCACCGTGGTTTTTAAATTCATTTTTGTCTGTGTACATTGCAAAATTTTTCCACATGTTTTGATTTGCTTCTTTTAACGGAGCATTGGTATTATATTGGTAGGTTCCGTTGGCGTTTATGTATCTATTAGAAGACATCCTTAATTGTTGTTGCTGCTGCTGTTCAATAAATATTGGTTCCACATTCTGAGGAATAAAATCTCCATTTGGTATGTAATTAGTTGGCATGTTGTTGTCGCTGCACAATTTATTCATCGTTTGATGATAGCCGAATGACGGGTCGAAATTTTCTTGGTTCGCCATCTTCGTCGATGACGATCTGCAATCAGCGGGACACTTGGCAAACAAAGACTGGTTCAAATCCATTTTTGTCGGTCCAAACGTTGACATAAGTCGGCCGCCCTACCTTACTTTAAAATTCGTTCAAGCAATTAGAAAGAGCACTTGAAATATTTTAAAGTGTTGTAATGAACAAAAGGTGCAAACTGAAATTAGTAAGAAAACGTTACTAACGTAGAAACTTGTCCTTTTAATTCCTTTCCACTCTTCTTTCTAAACTTTTTCAAAAACAACTTATTACTAACACGAATAAAATAATATTCAAAATTCTAATTTCAGAAGCATCTTGATTGCCACAGACCAAACTCAACACTATACGAGCCTAACGATCCCATAGCTATTACGTTAACGAAAGCGGTGTTGAATGATTTAAATACAAATTATAACAAATCCGTCCGTATTAAATATTAACGAGTTGAATTAAAAATGAAAACATTTAAAAAAATTTGTTGATAAGATAGCTTGCAATTACGTTAATTAAAAGATGACGTTTAAGAGAAAATAAAACATAGTACCATAAAAAAACACATTAATTATTCCTCAATGCAGGCCTTATATTGGTATAAGAAACACGAGGCATGAAGGAAATATACTAGAAACATTCATTAAAATAGCTACGATTTAAGTTTATATCAATATACCGACCAATCTATCAATAAACCCACCACTCAATCTATCATTTAATGAACTACAACATACCTTCGGCAGCAGAATTTACACGAAATCTAGAGCATATATTAATTGAAAACCAACAAACAAAAAATTAACAAAAGACACGGTCGATCAACATTTATTGAAGTTAAATATAATACACCAACAGCAATATAATACGCATAACATTGTTAAACTGCTGATGATTGCCTGCACAAATTGGATGACTGAGGAAGCATTGGCGTTAATATAACTTATAAATTAAATAATATCAAACAGAACAAGCTCAGATAAGTAGGATATGACATCTGTTTGTCCATTAATAACATCTGGATCGCATCACATTATTGTGGCATCATGTCGTGTCTTCGAGATATCAATTCTGATGCACAATTTAAAAAAATTATCAATCGAACCTCACCACTACCCTTAGATTCGCTATCATTTCCAATCTAATCAATACCATCTTCATCATTAACAGGCGTATTAAAGATTACCGTAATCACCATCCTTGCAATCCTCCTCTCCCTAATAAAGCACATAACCACGACCAGCAGCAGCACTATCATCATGGCATCAGGGACTTGCGTTGTTTGCTGCCTCACGAGCATCCATTTCACTGGCAACCTCCTCATCATTACTACTTTTACAGGGAACACCCCCATTATTTTCATACTCTGCCCCGACCTCATCATTATCATCATCAGGTTTCTTTGGCATGTCACGATCGTTGTTGTCATTCTTTCTTTTTGAAGACGATCTGTCTATCTTCTCATGAGATTGTGATCTATTCAATTGTTTGTTGAAATTACTGTAAACATTCATTTCAATTATTAAGCACCAAAACATGAACATGGCTAGAGCTATTTTTTGCTCATAAGTAGATTCAAAAAGCCCACCAGCTTTAATCATCATGCTGCTGTTTTAAATGTTCAATCAATCTGACTCTAACCCTACCTCGAGTTCTTCCTTGAAGAAGGTGATCCAGAATTATCTCTCCTTCTTTTTTCTTGTCTGTCTCTCGATGACCCACTTCTGCCTCGCCTGTCCCTCGATGACCCACTTCTGCCTCGTTTTCTGTCCCGCGATCTTGACCTGCTCCTGTTTCGTGACCTTGATCTACTTCTTTGTCGGCTCCTTCTCCTCCTCCTCCGACTGCCGTCATCATCGTAGTCGTCGTCACGTCTGTATCTGCCACTGGACCTGATGAATTGAGGGAATGAAAGCGTGATACATGATGCTGGGAGATGAATGTGCAACACGAAACATCCCAATCCACCAGAGATAGCATGCATCACATTCAAATGTGTCAACACCACTCAACATTGTTTGGTGATTTTCCACATCATCACTTTTCAAATAACTTAAAGAAAAAAACAATGATTACAATGTTGTTTGTTGACAATCACAATGCAAACATTATTAAAAAAGAAATGTTCAACAACATACAAAATTAAAACATACATCATCATCATCTTTGCCTTCCCTTGCAATTATACACTCATCTCACCAACTTATATGAGATCAGCCTCACCATCACCATCACCATCTTAACCACAGTTGCCTTTATACCATTAACAACTCTACAACACAAAACCATTACACAACAGCCTGCTGAGGATTGGATTATGATGGGTTTTTAATTTTATTCATTTTCATTATTTTTATAAAACCTGCTTGCAACTTTTTAGAACATAAATTTATAAACCAAAAATAATAATTGAAATAAAGTTGTAATTGTTACATTAGCATCAGTATATTCAAAGTAATACAATCAGACAATTTATTCATGTAAGATTTCTTTAAACATTCTACCAAACATTATTCTACTCTCTTTTAACTGAGTTATATATACTTTTATAACAATGACCGTCGGTACAAAATAACAAACAAATGTATAAACAAATTGAAAGGTTTTATATAATAACGAATTCAAATACTAAGTTCAGCCCGAATATAATAAAAATATCAAAAGTGGAAATAAAAACCTTCTGGAATCGGGACTGAATCGACTCCGATTCCTTCCCACTCTCTCACAATCCCTGGCAAAATGTCCTCTCTCCCCACATTGATAGCACCTCAAACTGGAATCAAATCCTGTTCGACGATTTGATCGTTCTCTAGCTCTCGGTAGCGCCAACGTTATTTTCAATCTACTGTTGCCAATTACTCTGTTTTGCATACAAAAATAAGATAAGTTAATTTCTTTTTAAATTATAACAAAAGCAATAAAATTGGAAATCTCTAATCTAATTATTAACAACACTGATTAATGATTTTTTTTAACAAAAGAAAGTTCTTTCCTGACCGCATTAATGAATCGTTAACAATTAACATAAATAAACAAACCCAACAACGATGTGATTAAGATTAAAAACAATATTATTTATTTTATAAATACAATGAAGCCTGCAATCTAAAATTTTCAATTAGAATTGAATTACTTTCCATTGAGAGCGTCCATAGCTTCATAAGCGTCAGCCCGCCTCCTGTAGACAGCGAACCCAAAACATGGCGGCGTCCTGGCCAGCCAAAGTTCGTACATCTCCCCAAACTTCTCAAACTCCCGTTCCAAATCTCGTTTGTTGCAATCTGGCGAAATGTCGGCGATGTGCAATCTCGTTCCGTTCCGATCTTCTTCGTAGTCGTCTTCGCTTCTGTAACTTCGACTGCGGGATCTACTTCTTCGACCCATCCCTAACTTTAATTCACTCGACAAAGACGAAAATAAAATTAAAAA